TATATACCACCGGAGCCGGAGACGACGGCGCGTAAATGAAAACAGCAGAGTAAAACTCATTTTCTCGGTTCTTGCGTGCAGATCAAGTGCTACATGCAGCAGCTGCTGATGGGGCTGCAGCACTGCCACGAGCGCAACATCCTGCACCGGGACATCAAGGGCTCCAACCTGCTGATCGACCGCGCCGGCGTGCTCAAGATCGGCGACCTGGGCCTGGCCAACTACTTCGGGCCCGGGCGGCGCCGCCCGCTGACAAGCCGCGTGGTCACCCTCTGGTACCGCGCGCCGGAGCTGCTGCTAGGCGCAACCGACTACGGCGTGGGCATCGACCTCTGGAGCGCCGGCTGCCTGCTGGCCGAGATGTTCTCTGGCAAGCCGCTGATGCCCGGCAGGACGGAGGTGGAGCAGCTCTTCAAGATCTTCAGCCTCTGCGGGTCGCCGCCCGACGAGTACTGGCGGAGGATGAAGCTCCCGGCCACCATCCGCCCGCCCAAGACGTACAAGTCGACGATGGCGGAGAAGTTCGCCGGCATGCCGCCGTCGGCGCTCCCCCTGCTGACCACGCTCCTCGCCCTCGACCCCGCAGCCCGCGGCACCGCCGCCCAGGCTCTCCAGAGCGACGTACGTGCCCGCGCACGCAAACCAATCCATCAACTCACACAAGTTTGCAGTGCCTGACGCTCTTCAACTCACACGACTTTGTACTGCAGTTCTTCAGCACGCCGCCGTTGGCCTGCGACGTCGCCGACCTCCCCGTCGTGTACAAGGAGGAGGCTGCTGATCCGACCACCCCCCGCGACGGAAGGAAGTGAGGACTGACCGATCGCATGAACGCTTCTTTGATCTTGCAGAATTCCCTCTCTGTTGGCTTGACGGTTTTCTGCTCTGCCACCATGTGTACAGGTCCAAGCCGAGGCAGCGTTCGCAGAAGCGAAGGAACAGCGGCAAGCAGAGAGCTGATCGGGAGCTCTCCAATGGCGAATCTCCAAATCCAAACAAAGAGGTATACATCACAAGTCCACAGGCGAATCCATCTTCGTGCAGTTGTACGTGAACCAGAATTTTTAGCAGCTTCATTCATACTCTCATTGACTCCTTTACGCGCGACGACGAATGTAGGAGGAGAACAGGGCCGAGCCTCTGTGCCTAACTATAAAATTGGGCCCACCATTAGAAGAACGACGTCCGGCATCAAGAGACGCACAGGGCCTGGCCGAGAGCGCCATCGTCAGGGCCTCCACCAGCACGACCTCACAACGGTTTTCAGTGAGCCCAATTCGGTCGTTCCTACCTGCGGATGAGCCGCAGCTGCGGAGGGCCAACACCTACCACGCCACCGGCGACGAGCACAAGGGCGGCGCCATCGCGCACCGCGGCGTGGCGATCAGATCAGCGACGTGATCGAGGACGTTTGTGGATCGTTGTGTGGGTTCAGCGGTTGAATTGCAGCAGAAACTGTTCACTGCTGCTGTTCGGACTGAGAAACCCCTGATTTGTAGACTGCGACGCAGTTCATCTATCAATAAATCTCCATCGCAGAGAATTGGGATGATTATTTTTCAGTTCATGGTTTATCCCACCATATAGTTTTTGGTTTAGCGTTGAAGAATGGAATTTCTGTGATAAAAAGTACTTACTTAACTAGTGCTATATTATCATGTTTACGACACTGTTGGTGGCGATTCACGAGCTCTCAAGTTTGTGGTACCAAACGGAACACTATGAAAGTTTCTCCAGAAACCATCCATAACTGATCAAAGACACGTTCCAACCACCAGAATATTGCACGCCAAATCAAAATATACACTCAGATCATCAACCGTAGATCACCTCTGCTAGTTGTTGATTAACAGGACAATCTCTGAACTCTAGAAGGTTAGAGTTTCTGCAGAGTGTGACAGTGTTCAGTGTTCTGTTCATAAAAAATAAAATTGGTTTGGCGCGTGAGGGAGACGATGGAGTATATTTTTTTCAATAATGTAGTGCTTTTGGTGGGCCCTTTCTAGATGTATGATTATGTGTTATCCGCTAATCAACCCACATGAATATAGAAAAGTTTCTTGCGTTGGCTACTACATTTACAATATTGGTGCTAGAGTGTGCATGTTGCCAATTCATTATTGTCTGATGAGAGGGTGCACGGTACTCTTTTGTAGACTAGTTGTTGCCGATTGATTTGAGATCAAAATCATGAACTAAATCTAAAATTGGACACTTCAATAAAAAGTTGTTGATGTAGTCAAAATTATAAACGGACCCGAAATTGAACATCTCAATTGAGTGAAAATCATGAATTAATATAACCATCATTTACCCAGTCAAAATTGTAAACCAATCCAAAATTGAACACCTCAATTGAATGAAGATCATTAATTCAAAATAATCTTAATAGAAATCGTTGACCCAGTTAAAATCGTGAACAAAAACCCAAAATCAAAATCGTTGACCCAGTCAACATTGTGAACCAAATCCGAAATTGAACACTTTAATTGAATGAGAGAGCTCCAAAATTAGGAAGCATAGTGTATTTATTACTAGAAGGTTTGGTCGTGTTTTGCTACGCCGTTGGTGCTATTGGATATTCATAATTTTTCTACTCCCTCTATCTCAAAATATAGGGTGTATTAGTTTTTTTAATCTAACGTCTTTAAGTTTGACAAAATTTGTAGAGAGATATATCAATATCCATAATATCAAATTGATATCATTAGATAGTCATGAAATAGATTTTATATTTTATTCATTTAGTATTGTCATTGTTGAGAAAATTGATAACCAGTAGCTGTTCGGTTGGCTGATGGGTTTTTTTTCGAAAAAAAGGATGACCCCTGGCCTCTGCATCTGGGAGATGCATACGGCCATTTTATTGATTATTCTCGAGGACCTTACAAAGTATAACAACAATATGCTCGAATCTGTCATCTTGGCAGCATCTGCCGCTACTCCTATCCAAATGATGAAGGGGTGCAACCTAGGCCACATACCCATACCTCTCACCTAAGCCTAACTTCTAAAGCCGGAGGCCCCGGCCGAGCCATCTGCTGGGTCCGGGGCTCAAACCGGTCTGACGCACTCACATGTGTCGTCCCCGTCATCTTCCACTGGTCAATCTTCAGAGCAAATTGAGGTGACAACCTTGGAAGGTCCTCCGCCATCGACGGCACACGAGCCAAACGATGACCTCCACCTACGCGAGCCTTGGCAGGTCCTCCGCCATTGACGCCATCACGACGCCAACCGACGATCTCCACCTACGCGAGTCCATCTCCAAGCAACGGACATAAATCCATGCTAGGAAAGGGCCGCACCACCGCCGTCGCCCACCACCCACAAGCGCCACCCAACCCCAAGGTTCCCAAAGCGGCGCCTTCAAGAAGGGAACGATGCCGTGAGCGCCGCCGCCGCCCAACAGAGTTGGGGCTTTCGCCTGGGAGACCTAGGGGAAGGTGAAGTGAGGAGATCACTCCATACCGATGCCTCCAAGGAAGGAAACGGCGCCCTCAGGCGTTACCGTCGGCGCGGCCGGTCATGGCCGGACAGGGATTTCGCCTGAACTAGATCTCCGCCACCAGCAGCACCTCATGTACAGAACCGGCGACCGAGATGAAACGCGGCCCGAGCAGGCTCCCCCGCACGCCGAACAGGGGAGGAAGGGACGCCGCAGAAGCCGCTGCCGGCCGCCAATGACCACCGGATTCCGCCGTCCGCGCGGCCGGGACACCGGGATCCACCACCCGCATGGTTGTTAGCCGGTCGTGCCTTGCCAATGAAGCCGCCGCTCTAGATCAGGGGTTCCCCACACAGAAGCAGGGCAACCGAGGCCCTGCCGCCACCATCCTTGGCGCCCCGGGCTTGCCCGGCGGTTGCGTCAGGCGGCGGCGAGGGAGGAAGGACGGGAGGGGTGAGGAGGAGGGGCAGCTAGGGTTGAGAGGAGGAGGCGGCTAGGGTTGGTTGATGGGTAGAGGATTAATAGGCTAATCGACAAGTTAGTCAACCAATTAATCAATTAATCGGCCGATTAATCAATTTATCGCCTACTTGGCGACCCTACGAATAGGGATTAATCAACCATTTAACTAGTTAATTGGACGAACTCTTGAAGAAGGGTGTTGTGGATGTCGATGTTTTTGACATTGAACTTGGTAAAAATTAAAGGAATTTGACTATTGAAAAACTATTACACCTTACATTTTATTTCCAAATTGAGAGAGTATTTGGCTTGGTGGGGGGAGGGGGAGGGGAGATGATAGAGTGTCTTGTCTTTTTATTTTTAATTTGATGTTTTTGATGGGCCTTTTGTGGTGATTCTGTGTTGTATATTAATCAATTCAAACTTATACGGAAAAAATTCGATTGACTTCATGTACTATATTGGTGCTATAGTATCACATAGTGACATTTCTTTTTTTAGATGGTGAGAGGGTGCGTTGGGTTCATATGTTTTTATAGGTCGGTTATTGTTGGTTGATTTGAGAAATTGTATATCCAATCAAAATCATAAACCAGATCCAAAATTAAATACCTCAATCGAATGTGAGTGATCCAAAATAAGGAACATTGTGAATTAAAAGAATTGAACGAGAGAGCTTCATTGTGAATTAAAAGGATTGAACGATAGAGCTCCATGAGAAAAAAAAATTAACCCGGTCAAAATCGGGTTACTCGATTTTAAATTAGAGACTTCAATTGAACAAGAGGGCTCTATAATAATGGAGCAAAGTGTATTAATAGATAGATAGATCGTTTGCAGGACTGTCGGTGGCAAGCGATGAGCTCTGCAGTTTGTGGTGCCAAACTGAAGGCTATGAAAGCGTATGTAGAAACCATTCATAACTGATCAAAGGCAAGTTCGAACCACCAAAAAATTCCAACAGAGAACTGGAAGCATATGGCAATCTCTGAACTCTAGAAGAATAGAGTTTCTGCAGAGTGTGACAGTGTTCGGTGTTCTGTTCACAAAGTTATTACAGATCACGGAGAGATGCATTGCAGTTGCATCTTTAGAACGAGACGGTGATGCCCAAGAGATCCACGAGGCGAGCTATGAACTCGGCAAGGTCCGGCCAGCTCGCCGCCGTCACGAGCTTCCCGTCGGCGACCGCCCCTTGGGGCTCCACGGCCGCCGCGCCGGCGAGGTTGGAGACCACCCTCATGGGCACTCCGCTCGCGCACCGCTTGCCCTTGAGGAGCCCCGCCGCGGCGAGGACGAGGTGCCCCTGGTCGATGCTGGCGACCACCTTCCCCTTGGCCGCGAACTGCCCCACCAGCGCCACCGCCTTCTCGTTCGTCACGAGCAGCTCCGGCGACCGGCCTCCGGGCACGACCACGCACTCGTAGTCGTCGACGTTGATGTCGGCCCAGTCCACGGTCATCACGAAGTTGTGCCCACGCTTCTCGTCGCTCACCGCGCCGGGGGCCACGGCGACGTCGTCGTAGATCGCCGTGACGCACGGCTCGCCCTTGCGCTTCGTCGGGCACGCCGCCTCCACGCGGCAGCCCACGCCGGCCAGCGCGCGGAAGGGCACGTTCGCCTCGTAGTCGTCCACGTAGTCCTGTATCGATCATCAGTTCATCACGTCACAGTTAATTCAAGAACGGTGAGAGGGAGGGGACGGGGGAGAAGTGGTTAGCTTACGGCGCAGAGGAAGAGGACGCCCTGGCCGCGCCCGCCGAGGACTCGGCCGCCCAAGGCGCGCAGGAGCTGCCCGATGATCTCCCCGTGCGCGGGCCACCCGATGGCGGTCAGGACGTGGCCATCGGCGACGCACAGGCTGAAGGGATCGGGCTCGACCCAGGTCCCGCCGGCCAGCTCCACCACGGGCCGCAAGCTGAAGAACGCGGTGCACCGGACGCCGCCCATGGCGCCCGCGGCGGCGAGGAGGACCTGGCTGTGGCACGTGAGCACGACCGGCCGGCGCAGCTCGCCCGCGAACGCCCTGACGAGGGCGACCGCCTCGGCGTCAACGCTGAGCTGCTCCACGAAGCGGCCGCCCGGGACGACGAGCGCGTCGTACGAGGACGGGTCGGCCGCCGCCGCGGCGAAGTCGGCGGTGACGCGGAAGCGGTGGCCGGGGAGCTCCGTGTAGAGCTCGTAGCCGAGGAAGTCGTGCACGGCGGTGAGGCAGGGGTCGCCGGGGGCCTTGCCCGGGGCGGCGCAGTGGACGGCGACGCCCAGGCCGGCCAGCGCGTAGAAGGGCACGGCCGCCTCGTAGTCCTCCATGTAGTCGCCGCACAGCATCAGCACCTTCTTGGGCGGCGCCATTGTTCCTGGACTAGTTCGCTCGCGAGCGTGAGACAGAGTGTGTGCTAGCGTAGGTAGGATCGACCAGAGCAAGGGGAAGACGAAGACTTAGTTTCTGAAGAGAAGTCGTGGCTTCACTTGTTCTTCATATCCTCTCGCGAAAGGGAAACGTTTAAAGCCGGCGCACCGGTTGAAATTTCCGCCGGTCTCTCTGTCACGCTCGCTCTCTCGCATACAGCAGCCACGGACGTGGATCCTCTGACTTTGCAATCCCTGCCATACCCTGCCTTTGAGTCACTGACAGGTGGGCCCCATGCTTTGTGGGACCCGTGTGTCAGTGACTCAAAGGTAGGCTTGGCCACGGCAGGGGATCCTCGTCCAACAGCCACGGGCAAAGTTGGGGCCACCAAGAGTCCACGTCTCCTTTTTATCCTTATCACTTCCCAGCTCCATACAGCCACTCGTTTGCATCTTGTCTTCCACCGCACATGACGAACGAGATCTCATCTCATCTATTCTCCCCCTTTCTGCTCGCTGGCTACGGAAGCCATGCCACTACTGTGCCACCGTGTCTCATTCAACGCCGGCAATGTAGTCACCGTCACGCTCCTATCCAGCCGCGCCGCGGACCAACCGGAGTGGCCGGAGGTGCTGGGGACCCGGGCGGCGTGCTGCGACGAGCAGCGAGAGGTGTTGGACCTCCAGCGGACGAGCTGCGACGGGCTTCTCCGCCGTCTATTGGCAGCTTCGGCCCCAGCTGCAACCATCTGCATCCGGTGCTGGAACCAGCGAGTTCCGGTGCTACCATCGGCTGCAGCGATGCGGGAACCAGCTCGACGACAAGCTGCAACTCGGCTGCGTCGAGTGCTGGAACCAGCGATCTCCGGTGCTACTACGGCAATGTCGGGTGCTGGAACCAGCTTTATTTTTTGCTGGAACCTGCTACCTTTTTTGCTACATGTTTTTTTTGCTTCATGTGATTTGCTGGAACCGGACGTGCCTCGCACCGCCGACGTCTTTTTTTGCAGGAACTAGCTTTATATTTTGCTGGAACTTGCTACATTTTTTGTTACAACGACTTCTTCATTTTGGTGGTGATGGGTGGTGTTTTTGCTACAACCGCGACTAAAAAAGTTACAACTGGTGAGCTGTTTTGCTACAATGGCGACCGGATGGCCGCACCGGCGAGCTATTTTTGCTGGAACCACACACTCTTTTTGCTACGACCGGCAATTTTTTCGCTGCTACTGCGAGTTAGTACTTTTTTCTCCGAGCTTGTTGTCGGCGTGTTACGACCGGCGACCGACGCCATCGGAGCTGCAGCCGTCCCCATGGGGACCTGCAATCGCTGGCGCACGCTGCTGCATGGACGACGGTGAGAAACGCAGGAGGCGGCAGCAGCGACGCCGACCTGCTGGGACGACGACCGCCGGCGGCGAGGGCAGCGACTGGCGGCGGGGCGGCAACAGGCGAGACGCGCCGGGCGGTGCTTCGAGGCCCCGGGCGCATCGCTAGTCCATGTCGGCGCGGTGGAAGCTTTTTTTTGAAAAGGAGATGACATCTGATGGAGGGAGGGGAGAGAATCGTGTGGCTACATGACATTTGATCGGACGATGCCGGTGCGACCGGCCCAAATTTCGGCCGGCGCACCGGCGCCTATCACTCGCCCTCGCGAAAAGGAAAAACAATGATCGAACAATAAACAAGATTTAGCATACAAGACCGAGGTAATTAATTGCCAATTGTCTTTTTTATGAGAAAATTAATTACCAATTGTCAGATGCGTTGCACATGGCTGGGCCGGCGAGATGGATCCGCCTCCTGGCAGTATTACTTTCAAAATTGGCAAAAGCAAAAATCCGAAAACAGATCCGAACGATCCGGATCTCGTCCATTTTGAATCGGACGATGCTTATTGATCGTGCGGTTTTAACTCGAGCGAACACGATTATTCGTTGATTTCCTTTCAGTTTTTCTCCACGATCCCGTAGTTAATGACAATTGGATTATGCAATCCTACCGCTTTAACTGTGATACTAATTATACATATGTGATTCTAATTCTATGCATGATTATCCGTATCGTAATTAATGGGTTGCCTTAATTATCTCGATCCATTTAGCAGCGTCTCCTAATTTGAAACGTAATTAGTGGGTCACCTCCTAATTTTATGCATGAGCTGATCGGTACCGTTTTAGGCTGGTCGTAAAGGTAGTATCATAGCTAGTATCATGCATGTCAACTAGACTATTCTACTGAGGTGGCATACAATTAAATGAAAAAAAGGAGTGTTGAGTATCATATTATGGTACCGTATCATAATAAATGCTATGCTACTATGTGTCATGCATGACAATAAATAAAGTTACCTATGATACTAGTATACGATACTGTGCATTACAGAGGTAGTATCATACCTTAATATCATGTGCATGATACTAAGTTATGATACTACTATCCATTACAAGCAGCCTTAGCTGTGATCCTAATTATACGCACACGATTCTAATTCTATGCATGATTATCCGTATCATAATTATTGGGTTGCCTTAATTATCTCGACCCATTTAATTGCGTCTCCTAATTTGAAGGTAACGTTTAGAGCTGATGCACCGGCCGAACGCTCGGCCGGCCGCATCCACGCTGGACAATGGGGCCACACACCACCGCTCTAGTATTCTTCTTATCTTCACGAGTCGCGCCTATACATTCATTCGCTGTTGCTTATCTCCTCGCATGTCTTGTTCCCCTGCGACAACCTCCAGGATAGTTCGCCGGTGATGACCGCCATCGATCCCACACCAGCTTGCCCATCGCCCATCCAACGGCAAATCGACGCTATTTTAGGAGACCCCCACCGCGCGCGACAAGGGAGGAGTGGGAGGGAGGTCGTTGCTGTGGCACCGATGAGGTGCCTGGGGACCGGCCAGGGGATTCACTTCAACCGGCGGCGGCAGTGGTGAGCGGCAACGGCGGTGGCCACCATGGATTTTTTTTGCTGCATCAATTCTTTTTGCTGGAACCACTTCTTTTTTTTCTGCTCGAACCTTCTTTCGATTTTGCTACAAATTGAGAGAGATGATGCGGTGTTGCTGCCATGATTTTTTGCAACCTCTTTTGTTTTTTGCTGGAACCACTTCTGTTTTTTGCTGGAACCATCATTCGACTTTGCTGCATTGGGCAAAGATGGTTGTTTGGCGGCGACGGCGGTGCTCGCCATGAATCTTTTGTTGAAATCTCTTCAGATTTTTGCTTGAACCGTTTTTCAATTTTGCTGCAATTCAAGACGATGGTGGTGCCGTCGACGTCAAGATTTTTGCTACATTTAATGTTTGCTAGAACCTCTTCTCATTTTTGCTACAACCGGCAATCACAAAAGCTACAACCGGCAATAAATTTTGCTACAATGGTGATGGGGTGATCGATGAGCCTTTTCTACTAGAACCAGCACAATTTTTTGCTACTACCTGTGGAGATTTTTGTTGCCACCAGCAAACCCGAAGGAGAGTACTTTTTAGCCAGCTCGTCACCGGGGTGTTGCAAACAGCGACCGGCGTACGACCATCCCACTGGTGTTGCCATCGCCAGTGGGGGAGCTGCAACCGTGAGGGAAAGTTTGCTGCATGTGTGGATCTGACGAGGAAGCCATGAGACGATAATGGAGAGGCCGGCGACCAGCGGCGAGGGCGGCAACCGGCGGCCATGGCGAGCCACCGACGGTGTAGGTTACGGCAGAGGCGCAGCGAGCCACGAGCAACGCGGACGGTGGCAGACGACGACGGCAGCCGGAGTCAACGATGCATTTTTCCTTTGTTTTTTCTAACGAAGTGGGGTGAAAAAGTTACAGATCAAACGGTTTAAGTCGGCTGATCGTACGGCATTGCTTCGACCGGCCAAAATCCTGGCCGGTGCGCCGGCACTTAGTAGCACCCTAATTTAAAACGTAATTAGTGGGTTACCTCCTAATTTTATGCATTAGTTGACCAGTACATTTTCCATCCTAATTTCCCAAGCAAAAAATAGTGCACCAGATGGGATTCAAACTCTCAACCTGACACAACTAAGACCACTAAACAAACCACGCTAACCAACTAGCAAGGCAGCTACTTGTGTGTATTGTATTGCTTTTTAGCATACACTTATAGTTTGCTTTCGGTCTTTTTTTTGTATGTTATAGTTTGAGACACCCTGATAACTTATGTGTTGGGAAATGTAGTAATAATTCAAATTTTCCTATGTGTCATCAAGATAAATCTAGTAGATGCTAGCAACGAGAGAGAGGGAGTGCATTTTCATACCCTTGAAGATCGATAAGCGGAAGCGTTACAAGAACACGGTTGATGGAGTCGTACTCGCGGCGATTCAAATTGCGGAAGATCCGATCTAGCACCGAACGGACGGCGCCTCCGCGTTCAACACACGTACAACCCAGGGACGTCTCCTCCTTCTTGATCCAACAAGGGGAGAGGAGAAGTTGAGAGAGAGCTCCGGCAGCACGACGACGTGGTGGTGAAGCTTGTGGTTCTCCTATAGGGCTTCGCCAAGCACTACGGAGGAGGAGGAGGTGTTGGAGGAGAGAGGGGATGCGGCAAGGGAAGGGGTGCGGCTGCCCTCTCTCTCCCTCACTATATATAGGGGGAAGGGGGAAGGAGGAGGCGCCCTAGGGTTTCCCTAAGGGAGGGGCGGCGGCCACAGGGTAAACCCTACATGGGTTTGGGCGCCCCCACCCCTAGGAGACTTGCCCCCCAAGCCGGGAGGGGCGGCTGCCCTAGGGGAGGCGCCCCCACCTCTCCAGGTTATGTGAGATGGGGTGGGAGGGGAGCACAGCCCCTTAGTGGGCTGGTGTGCCCCCTCCCCTTGGCCCATAAGCCCCCCCCCAACACTTGCCGAGGCCTTCGAAACTCCTTTCGGTCACACTGGTCATCACCTGGTACTCCCGGAACAATTCTGGACTTCAATACCCTTCGTCCAATATACCGATCTTCACCTCCGGAGTTCCTCGTCACGTCCGGGATCTCATC